TCCGCGGAGGCTCCCGGTGCCCCGGCCGTGCCCCGTCCTGTAAGCAGCTCCTCCGTGTCTCTGCTGCCGCCCGATTCCTCCTGTAAAGCCGCTTGTGCTTCCCTTTTCCTTCTCCCCTTGGCTTCCTGTGTGGAAATGCTTTTGTTGCTCATGGTTGTCTCCCTTGGCTGGTGCCCCGGTCCTCGCAAGGGTGGTACGGGTAGACCTGCCCTCCGTGCGCCCCTGGGGTGCCCTGAACGTGAAGCTCTTAGGTCCTTCGTCTGTGAAATGCACAAAGATGTTCTGCCAATGCTTCATTCACTGCTGCCTCCATGCAGTCAATCATTAATCTGCACAATACTTTTCCTCTGTATTAATAATGTGTTAGTAACAGTGAATTGTCTGGTTGTGGAATGAACCTTAAAAGTATTAAACAACTAAAAAGTTCATTTTGGTGAAAAGTTGTCATAATAACCCCTAAGACTTTAATTTAGCTGTTATGCTGTCTTCCTTTGATAGCATGGAAATTTTTCCATCTGCACAACGCTATTTGCTGTAAATGTTTAGATTGTTTTGATGGACAATTTGACAACCAACATAAAGGTTGGTAAAACTCCCAGAATCTAAATGGTCTAGATTCTTTTGGATAGAGATTAATGGAGTGGTAAGGATACCTTGGAATGTCTCAGAGATTCATTTGGATGTATTTGCTTATTCATAGATACATTCATTGGTCTTTTTTGTTCTTCTTTCAGTTAATTCAGACCTATTCACTAGAGTTGTTCGTTCTGTTTATTTCTCAAGTTGAAATGACGGATGGAACTGGATTAGCAAAGCGTGTATTGTTTTAATTAAGTTTGGAATAGACTTTTTAAAAGCTCAAGTTATGCTTTTATTGCATTTTTTCCCAATTTCTAGAATTGTTTTTCTGCTCTTAAGACATTTGATGTTGTAGTCTAATAGCTAGATCTTTGGCAAGTCAAAATGGAGAAAGTGCTTTAGTTTGTAACTCTTCCTTTCAAGTTTCATGTTTTCCTCTTTCTGGCTTCTAGTTATTGACTCTGTAACTTACAGGTGTGACTTGCCCAGCATCCCTTTAGCCTGCAGGGGGCAAAATGTAGTTTAGCCTTAATCCCTAAGGTAAGGAAATAGACTCAAAACAATAAAAGTGTTTTTTCACTATCTATTTTATTTCATTTTTAAAGTAGTTATAACTTTAATTTTCCAGATAGGATGAGTGTAGAGGCACTTCTGATACTTTGGTAGTTAGTCCCTTGCAAAGCTGAAAATTACTGCAAAAGAAGTTGTAGGTGAAACTTAAAGTATTGACTCATCTTTGCAAATTGCAAGCAGTGGATTATTTTTGTGGCTACTGAACCCCTATAGGAACAAAGAGGTGATGACATCTTTGTGTCAGGATCAGTGGGTGCTTGATGTGGCGTCTTGTGCTACACAAATGTCACTTAAGTTCCTGCCTTGCTTTAGGAACTCTTCCAATGGCAGGATCCTTTCAGTGTAAAGCATAAAGGCTCAATCGATTTCATTTCATCAGTGGGTTGTCAAGTGTCTCCTACATTCTCTTTATCAAGACAAGTAAGTTCACAACCATCCAGATAAATTTGGACAAAGAATTTTTGTGTTCAGCACCAAAGATTGTGGTTTTGTCTTGTAGGCTGTTAACGTCTGGTCGTGTTTTCCCTCTGTCATGCATCCACACAAGTGCATCTCTGGAGAAATTTGGGAAGTGGGAGAAAAAGAACAGGATTGTTTACCCTCCACAGTTGCCTGGGGAACCTCGCAGACCAGCTGTAAGAATATGTTTTATTACCTCTCTGTATGTAATGATTTCAGAATACAATATTGTTCAAGATCACCCTATAGAGTGCTAATCTAGTAACTTATTTGTTTTCTAAGCTTTTAGTCTGCGTGGTGTATTTATGTTGTAAAAACCAGAGATTTACTGCTGTTAAATTTTACTAGCTGGCTCTTGCCCTGGTCCTTTGGAGACACTCCTCCTAAGTGTAAAGCCCTTCTCACCTTGTCAGTAACCAGTAAGTTGACATCATATGAGAGAAACCTTTTTTGAGTGTGCAAATGAGTTTTAGGCTGCTTTGAGATGGGGAGAAAGAATGGAAAAGATGAAAAACTTTCTGACTGTGATTTTTGGGGACTTTTATTTCTAATTTAATCGTTCTCATAAGATTGTATTAAAAACTCATCAGTGCTTCCCCTTTGATATGTCAAAGGCAGGCTTGGCTTGGTATGTTCATGGTGTAATACGGAAAGTCATGCTTATTTTATTCCTGGAAAAAACCTATCTTACGTAGGGGCGGGAAGAAAGGGAATGCTTATGTTCACAGCGAAGTTTCTGGTGTACTTTTTGTATTTTTGCATCTAGGAAATATATCACTGTCGTCGGGAAATAAAATACAGCAAGGATAAGATGTGGTACCTGGCAAAACTGGTAAGCAAATCCTACGCTGATATTGTGTTGTTGGAGCGTAAAATTTGCTTAGTAAATTTGTCTTAACTTTTTTTTTTATAATGGCAAATCTATGAATGCTGTTTTCTGAATTGGAGAGGAGAAATATTTGTAATCACAGCATTAACTTTAACCCTTTATAATTGCAGATAAAAGGAATGTCTATTGACCAGGCCCTAGCTCAGCTGGAATTCAGTGATAAAAAAGGCGCAAAGGTGATCAAAGAGGTATGCAGCAGGGTTCTCTAAAGCTCTGTTTTTTTATGGAAACTTTTAAATCTGTATCTATTGCCAGCAGTCTGGAGTTTTT